ATCATCATTTTTCATTATTCATAATTAAAAATAGAAGATAGCAATGGAGTGAGATTGAGTGCATTATAAAACTTCATTTTAACCACTTCAGAAATCATAAGACAAATTATAAAAAAATAAGTAATAATTTAAATAATAACATTACCTAGTTTAAAAATAAAAATACTTTTGGATGGGATGTTGCAGAATTATGTTGAGATTAGAATTGCTTTGGTGCTTATGATCAAAGTATTGATTTTTTTAAATTCCAGTCTTTTATTGTTTCAAGGATAGCATATAGAGTGACTACATGTTTAATTGGGATTGGAGTTTTCTGAAGGTTGCTTCAAGTGACTTTGTTACATTTAAGTTTTAAATACTGTTAAAGTGTGTCTAATAAACTTAAAATGGCTTCATCTTCTTACATAGGTGCATTCTCTGTGAGCTATTTCCCAAAACCTTTCAGAATTTTAGCTTTCTTGTGCATAAAATGAGGGTCAGGGTAAGGGACATTCTAAACATAAAAAATGGAGTAAGTTTAAAAGTCAAATAGTAAACTATAGGAAATAATTTTCATAAAAGAAAAGATCAAGGAAGTCCATTCAAAGCATGGGAAAGAGTGAAACTACAGAAAAACACACAGCAAATGAAATAGAAAATATATGGACAAATGATTCATAAAAGAAGAAATATAACTGGTTTGCAAAGATAGTAAAATGTGCTGTTTCATTATAAACCAGAGAAACTTGAATGCAAATAGCAAATTTCATAAGCTACCATAACATTTATTCTCAGTAATTTTTTTCTTTAAATATACTTACAAAAAATGTTCTTTTGCATTTCAAATTATCCACAGAGATAGCAATTGAAACACTGCAGTTCCTTTAAAAAAAATTGAGGCAAAATGGGAAGGCAACTAAATTCCTGAGAATGGGAAATTATTAAATAAATTAGGATGTTTTCACTTGATGAAATATTGTAAGTCCTAAGGAAAATTTATAAATGGTATGTAACAACAGAGTTCACTACCTATATCATTAGGTTAGATAAAAGAAACCTGAATCAAATTGTTCATGAAACATGATGATATTTTACATAACAACTGTGATTAAATTAGCAAAGCAAAACAGAAAGCACAGAATTGCTAAAAGTGTACTTGCCAGCTTTTAGGACCCTTGCAGCTATTAGGTGACAGTGTTAATGTTTTCCAGCTATTTAATAATGTTTAAAACAAACATGTTATCTTTATAGAGGAAAATATACTTTAATAAAATGTAGAAGAATCTTAATTTACCTAGAAAATCTTTAGGAAAGATAGCAGTAATCTTTATGTAGTGTTTCAGTCTTTTTTCATGTTTATATAATATATTCAGATTACACATAGCTGAACACATACAATTAAATTCATTCGTCAGGTTGTGCAATTCTTCTCTCTGCCTGCTTTTCTGAATTGTTATTCTGAATTGTCTGCCCCTTAACTTTTTTAAATCTTTTGAGTTGCTGTTGTCAACTCAATCCCAAGTCAGTAGTCCTTCAAAAAAAAATGCCCAAGCCAGACTTTCTTTACTAATTAAGTTAGTGACTCTGATCTTAAAAGCTTGCATGCCATCCAACTTCCTACAATTGGTTCCTATTCACCTAGACTCTAGAGCAAGAGAAGCAGAAAGCGAGTGAGAAATAGGAAGAAAAATGGGGCGGGGGTAGGTGGGCTGTTAACTACCTCCTTTGCCACGAGACCAGAATTAGATGCACCCATCTACCATTATTAGACATTTTTATTAAATATTCTATAGAAAAATACTGATAAAAAAGGGGAAATGTGGAACAAAATTTCAAATTTTCATAGAATACATACTTTCTGAAGACATTGAAACTGGATGAAATCTTGAAACTATTGACCTGAGAGAATCTTTAAATTTCAAACCAAAAATGTCCCTGAACTCTTGTATAAATTAAGGCTTAAAAACTCCATTCCTAGGGCATATTAAAAACGAATTCAACCAGGTACCAATAACCACCTATTACCCAGCTCAGCACAATAGTCATGCAAATGGAAGCTTTGCCACTGGTTTGTTGTAAAACTTTAAGCAAGTTTCTTAATCTCTCAGTTTGCATCCCCCTCATTTGTAAAGTGCTGGTAAGAATAGACTGCTGAGATTCTGAGATGATAACCATTCCTACCCCCCACGTTTTATTATAGCTTTGCACACACACACACACACACACACACACATACACACAGAGAGAAATGGATCCTGTTGGTGTAAAAGTAT